TGGTCAAGGAGATACTCACTGCAGTGTTGTGATTAAACTTGCTGTGGTGTTGGTGTTGGGCGGATGCTGACAGTTCCATTTCCTCTTTTAGACTCCGCTTCCCACGCTGCCACTGGGAGTGTCCTCTGAGGTCAGACACGGCGAGTTTGTTGTTGCTATGGGCAGTCCCTTTGCCCTCCAGAACACCATCACATCTGGGATTGTCAGCTCTGTGCAGAGGGGGGGTCAGGAGCTTGGCATGGCTCACTCGGATATGGAATATATTCAGACTGATGCGTCCATTGATGTGAGTGTGCTATTCATGTGGATATGGTCACGGTTTCCAAACTTAATTTATTCATGGGCTGTGAGCATCTTGGCTTAGACAAAATTTATTGGCCATTCCTAATTGCCCTTTAGAAGTTGGTGCTGAGCCACCTTTTGAACTGCTGTAGGTCGATACACCATTTCATTGGGTCAATGTCCCAGCACTGATTCTCATGGCACGTCACTTATTCCATCCATTCATGCTTACTGTCTGCTTCCTGTTAGCCAGACTGTCCTATGTGCACACCAATATTCTCCCACCTACTCCATGAGCTATTATTCCTCCAGTAACATTTGATGTGGCACTTTATCAAATGCCTTCTGGGAATCGAAGTACAGTCCATTCACTGGGTTCCAATATCCACAGCGTGTGCTATCTCTTCAAATGATTCCAATAAAATGATTAATCATAATGTCAGTTTCACAAAGCATGTTTTGAGCATTGTTAGACAGAGGGATCTTGGGGTGCAAGGCTATAGCTGCCTGAAAGTGGTAACACAAATGGATAAGGTGGTGAAGAAGGTGTACAGTATGGTCACCAGTTGGGGCATTGAGTACAAAACTTGGCAAGTCATGGTGCAGTTGTATGAGACTATAGTGAGGCCACATTTGGAGGATTGTCTGCAATTCTGGTCACCGCACTAGAGGAAGGAGTGGGTGCAGGAGAGGTTTACCAGGATCATGCCTGGATTTTGAGTGTATTAGCTATTGAGGAGAGATTGGACAAACTTGGATTGTTTTCGGTAGTGTCAAAGGCTGAGGGACAACCTGATAGAAGTCTATAAAATTGTGAGAGGCATGGATAGGGTGGATAGTCAGTGTCTTTGTCCCAGAGTGGAAATGTCAAATACTGGGTCCAAGGTGCAGGCGTAAATTTAAAGGAGATGTGTGAGAGAAACTTTTATACACAGTGTGGTAGGTACCCGGAACTTGCTGCCAGAGGAGATAGTAGAAGCAGATACCATAGAATGTTTAAGAGGCATTTAAACAGACCCATGAGCAGGTAGGGAATAGATGGATACAGACCATGTGCAGGCAGGTGGAATTAGTTTAGAATGGCATCATGGTCAATACAGACAAGTTGGGCTGAAGGGCTTGTTCCTGTGCTGTACAGTTCTGTGTTAACTCTGCCTGATTACCTGGAACAGATCCAAGTGCCCTGTTATAACATCTGTAATAATAACATTATCCCTACGACACATGTTAAACTAACTGGCCTGTAGTTCCTGCTTTCTGCTTCCCTCCCTTTTTGAATTATAGAATTACATTCACTATCTTCCATTATAACACACCTTCCCCAAATCAAAGGAGTTTGTGGAGAATTATAAACAATGCATTAACTACCTCACTAACCATTTCTTATAGGAGCCCCGGATGAAGTTAATCAAAATCCCTGTCAGTCCCCAATTCCAGCAATTTACTCAGTACCACTTCTCGTTTGTTTAATTTGCTAATGGGGCATGGGCAGTGCTGGGCTGGGCCAGCAATTATTGTCCTTGAGAAGGTGGGGGTGAGCTGCCTTCTTCAACCGCTGCAGTCCTCCTGCTGTGGGTTGACCCACAATGCCCTTAGGGAGGGAATTCCAGGGTTTTGACCCAGCGACAGTGAAGGAACGGCAAGGCAGGATGGTGAGTGGCTTGGAGGGGAAGTTGCAGGGGGTGGTGTTCCTGTGTATCGGCTGCCCTTGTCCTTCGAGATGGAAGTCGTCATGGAATCTTTGATGAATTTCATTTGACGAAAAATAATCATTGATTCATTTAGTTGTATTTTTATTTTCATGTTTTGTGATACAGCCTGGAAGAATAGTTAAAAGTAAGGAAGAGGGTGTTGTGATGAGGGCATGAGGAATACGCAGGGGATATGGAAAGGTTCAACAATTGGGCAAAAAACTAGCAACTGGAGTTTAACATCAGAAAGTGTGAAGTCATACACTTTGGCAGGAGCTGTTATTTAAACTGTGAAAGACTCCAAGAATGAGCAGCAGGCTTGGAGTTTAAATTCGGGAAGTTGTGTGCCAACAGAGAACGCTGAGAGGCTTTGCTGAGCATTCTGGGAGAAGGAGGTGCAGTGACTGTGACCAGTCAGCGGAGTGAGAAAGAACTCCGTGTCAAGGAATGGTGAGCCCCAAGCATTACATTGCTGTAGCGCTTCCATCCTTCCTCCCTTCCTCTAAACCAATAATAAGAAAAGAAGAGATATTAAGAGGAACAGATAGGGAGTTTGTTGTAGCTGAGAGGGTATCTGGCCTGTTTGTAAAGACTGCTCTATAATTTAAGGAACCAGTTGGTGCAGCTAGTTGGTGTAAGTACAGGCTTAGGTGAATACTGGGCTTCACTGAGTAAGGCAGGCATGGTAAAATTCATTTATCTCTCTCTCTGTGTAAAGGGGCAGAGATGGCAGTTCGGGCAGTGGTGTGCTCCTGCTGGATGTGGGAAATCATTGAGCAGTCTCGTGTCCTGTGTCTGCAGGAAATGTAACTGGCTACAGGTTCTCATAGACTGTGTTGCTCAGTTGGAGCACACTGAGGAACATACACAAGTGTACTGTTTTGGCTACTGTTGGGGCGATAGCCTCTCAGGGGAGTATATCACCAGCAGCCAGGCCTGAGGCACCATAACTGGCTCTGCTGGAGGGCAGGGTTGGGCAAGATCCAACCGTGCGATAGTGGTTAGAGACTCACTAGTTAGGGACACCAACAAGCTTTTCTGTGGCCACATCTGAGACTCCAGGATGGTGTGTTGTCTGTCTGGTTCCACTGTCAAGGGCGTCTCTGAGCAGTTTCATGAAACTTTTAAGGGGAAGGATGAGCAGCCTGAGGTTGTAGTGCACATTGGTACCAACGACATGGCTAGAAAGAGGGTTGAGGTCCTGTAAAGTGAGTACAGGGAGATAGGAAGGAGGCTGAAAAGCAGGACCTCGAGGGTAGTAATCTCTGGATTACTGCCAGTGCCACATGCTAGTGAGGTAAGGAATAGAAAGATAGGACAGATGAATGTGTCCTAAGGAATTGGTGTGGGGGGGCAGGGTTTCATGTTCTTGGATCATTGGGATCTCTTCTGGGGCAGGGGTGACCTGTACAAGAGGGACGGGTTGCACCTAAACTGGAGGGGAACCAATATCCTCGCAGGGAGGTGCACTAGTGTTACTCGGGAGGGATTAAACTCGAGTGGCAAGGGGCTGCGTACTACAGCAGATCAGCAAGGGGAGGGATTGAGGGGAAGGTAGATGTTAAGACCAGTAAATCAGAAAGAAAGGATAGGCAGAAAGTAAAAAATGAACACGATGGTGCTAATGGGCTGAAGTGTGTTTATTTCAACGCAAGGAATACTATAAGGTAAGGCAGATGTGCTTAGACCCTGGATCACTGCATGGGCCTATGATGTTGTGGCCATTATAGAGACTTGGTTGAGAGAGGGACAGGACTGCCTGCTTAATGTTCCAGGATTTTTTTGTTTTAGACGACACTGAGAGGAAGGTAAAAGATGTGGAGGAGTTGTAATACTAATCAGGGAGAATGTTACATCTGCACTCGGAGAGGACATGCTGGAGGGCTCATCCACTGAGTCAATATGGGTAGGT